TGTCTTATTATACAGCAACATTATTGTATATACATGTAGTTTCTCTGGGTTAAAAGCCTCAGCAGGATTTACAAGCATGGGTAACAATGGGATAAACAAACAAATGAAAACACAATCTATGTTATACACAGAATGTTAAAATCTCTTAATGTAACAAACAAAATTAGGCAACAAATGGATGATTTCATCCACAGTGACCAAGAAGTTTGTATTTATCAACAAATCTATCTTTTTGTACAAATTGAAACAAGGATGATTTCCCCACTGCCCCAAAATAAATTGTTCCCACCTTTAAAATTTATTAATTCAACAAACATTTGTTAGGCACCTACTGTGTGCAAAGCCCTGTACCAAGTGCTGAGGAAAATACAAAATTTAGATAAGTCACAAATGCTTATAACTACAGGGAACTGAGGACGAGCACGGTTAAAGTAAACTGCAGTGAAAGTTGGATGATTTTCACCTAATCCAAGATATGTAGGCCTAACTTATTTCTGAGGCAGCAGCAACTTGAGAACTTTTCAAATCTCTAGCAGTAATTAGTTGTGTGATCTCATTTGACTACATGAGGTCAAAGGCCCCTTCCAACCCTGAAATTGTAGGACACGTGGTCCACCTGAGATTTTTAGCAAAACATATTTACTAAATTAACTAACACCTATGAATAAATAGGCTAGTATTACCTCATCAACTGCCTGTCCCTACTGCTGTGTAACTGCTTCCAGATGTTACGGACCAATGACTAATTATTTAAATTAAAAAAAAAATCATGCAGTTTATACGTATCAGGATATGAGATTACATGGCCTACCTTTTTTTTCCCTTCTTTTTTTTTTAGTCTATTTGTGGTTTCATTCATGTAGGGAATTTTGAGTGAGGATGCTCCTCCTACCAATTTTGATCAGCAAGTAAAATATTTATAGTTTCAGTTTCCTGGAGCAGATAGGTCAAGCAACTTGCTTAGGGTCGCATAGCAGGTATGTCTTCATGGCTCAGAGGCCAGCTCTCTCTCCACTGCCATGCTGCCTTTCTCATGTACTCATGATGTTATTCCTTTTCTAAATCCTAAGGTCTTTTCTTGCTCTGACATTCTGCTTGGTGGATCCTTCCAGCCCTGACATTCTAGGATTCACTAGTTCTGTGGACAGAGGTTTGAAAAACCTTAATTCCCTAAAATAAAACACTGGGTTTTGTACTAAAGTCCCTCTGCAAGTGGTCTCTAAAACAAAACAAAAAAACTTTATTAACCAAATAAAAACTAATAAAATATGGGATGCTTATTCTGAAAGACAAACAAAACTTCTGAATCCAATTTTTCCTTAACTGGTTTGATTACACAATCATCCTTCCCTGTATCCTTCAGCTTACTGCTTGCCAAAAGTGGAAATCTAGTCTTTCCAGCCAAGAGAGGGAGGGTCTGCCCAATATGTGCAAAAGAGATATCTTTCCCACCCAGCACCCCAATTAAAAAAGTTATCTATTTGCCCTTTCATGTAACCTATATTCTCCTCAAATACTGTCTACTTGCTGCTCATTCGTATGATGGAATCCAATAATGCAACCACTATATGTGCTTTGCAAACTAGTCCTCAAAGGGAACATTGGATGAAGACCATGAGAATGTTTTCAATTATATGAAAGCTTCATAAAGACAAAACTCATACACTTTTCCCCTCCTGTTTTGATTCATAAGGTGAAATTAGAGTAGAAATTGTCAGGATGTGGATTTTAGTTTAACCTAAGAATTCTGACCACTTGAGCTGTTCAACAATGGCTAGACTGTCTCAGTGAAGTGATGACCACTGGCCAGGGATACAGTAGAGGGAATTTTGTTCCATTATGTGGGAGATTGATGTCCTTTAAGATCCCTGCCAACTAAAAATTCTATGATTTCTAGTTCAGTAGATGGTGTGTTCCCTCACTGCCCGGACATAAGGTTAGTTGATCTAGTACTGATGTTGGTGACATCTTTACTTATTGGAACTGGCCTAGCTAATAAACCCTTTAGTTGATTGTGAAGACAATCAAGAGTTGGCCTTGTCTCACCCTCTATGATCACCATGACCCTATAGAATTCAAAGGAGAGGAAGAATGTAAGGCCTCTCTTTATCACAATACCAAATCTGCAAGAGTGGCTGACAAATTCTAACTATTTGTCCAGGAAGAGGATTGGGATGCTGCTCAGTCCTCATTCATATACGTCTAAAGCATCTTACCTGTCTCACTTGGTAAATTGGGGAACGAATCCTTTCTAACTAGCTACTGTTGAGGGAGACCATGTTATAAGGAGTAAGAGTAATTTATTTGGAATCAGATGACTGGGTTCTGCTTCTCACTATATAACACTTTGGTTAAGTTCCCTCCCTAGAATTTAGTTTTTTCATATGTAAAATAAAGGAATCAGACTAGATGATCTCTAAGGCCCCTTCTTGGGCAACTATGTGACACAGCAGAAAGGGCACTGGGCCTGGAGCCAGGAAGACCTGAGTTCAAATTTGATCTCAGATACTTACTAGCTGTGTGACCCTGAGCAAGTTACCTAGTGTTTGCCTTGGTCTCACCTGTAAAATTGGGGGATAGTAATAGTCTCTACCTCTCAGGGTGGTTGTAAAGATCAAATGAGATAATTGTAAAGCTATTAGTACAGTGCCTGGCATATAGTAAGCACTAATATATACATACACACATACACATATATATGTACATATATACATATATATGTTTATTATTTTAGGATCCTATGGGAAGGTGAAACTAAAGCGGGCACACCACATACATGTACTCATGTAGTCTGACTTAAGTAAGGCTAAGGTGGACTATTTAACAACCAAGAGTACAAGTTCTGTACTTCAAATTGTGCGACACATGAATGCCCTAGAAGTAAAGCCATAAAATAAATTAATATACACCCAGTCATAATGCTGTACAAGACAATGGCAACAGTGGGATTCAAAGCTTAGTTCACCTGGGCCAGGTAGATGTGAAGGGTCTGTACATTACGAGGGGACAGAGCAAAGCCAAAGTGAAGAGAAGGGGGTCCTTGAAGTCTGTAAGCCAACTTGGTTTTTCACTTTCGCCTTTACTGACTCCAATTTGCTTTACTGCTAGTTGTCTTGGGGAGGCTTCTTCCTGAAGCCTGTAACAAACATCCAGGGCTGCAGGGGCTATGTACACCAGGTATGGACAAAGAGAGGCTTCCATGCCAAGAACAGACCTGGACCGGGAAGGCTCCCAGGTCTTTGTTTGTCAGAGGCCATTATCTCCCTGGGAGCCTTTTCACCTCCCTCAAAACAACTCCGTTTACATGAAGGATGTTATAGGAAGGATGTCTATCACTTGAGAGGTAGGGGACACACAGGAAGCAAATATGGAGCCCAGCATCTTCACAGAATCACAGAAGATTAAGGCTTCAAGGGATCTTAGAGATCTTGAATCTTCTTTAGACTTTCCTCACGGCCATTCCCGGTCCACCCCTGCCCCTGCCCCTGCCCCTACACCGAAAAAAAAAAAAAAAAGCTGAAAACTGAAGCCCAAACAATTTAAATGATTTGCTTAGGATCACATATCTAGTTAACTGTGCCAGAGTTGAGAAGAAAACCCAGGTTTCATTATTCCTGGCCCATTATTCTTTCAGTTATACTATATCTGGGCTTCTGTTTCACTCCTGCTGACCAGAAGGCAATCTTAGGAGCTTTGAAAAACTGCAGAGAGACAGCCACATTTTCCATGAGAAGAATGAGTGACTAGCTGTAGGATGAGGCAAGTCAATTCCCAAGTCTTTGATTCAGTTTCCTCTTCCGTAAGATTAGATTTCATTAACTGATCTCCTCCAACCTCAACATTCTAATTCCAAGGCTTTGCTAACTCACCCTTTTCTCAGGTCTTCAAAACAAAGAAAAGGATTTTCACATAATTCAAGGTATTTAGGCCTAACTTGTTTCTGAGACAGCAGTTCCTAATGAACTAATCAAAGAAGAATGTACACATTTCTGATTAAGGATGGGCAAACATCTGTTAGGTTAAAGAAGTTATTATTATAGGTGTCAGTGCTGAATGCATAGACTGAAAATGGGCTCCTCTGACATGGAAATTCAAACATATTTTCCTTTACATATGGACAATAATGCTATTCGTGATAGGACATCTTACTTCAAATTAGTCTTCCCTATAGTATAAACAAGAAAAATGAATAAATCTGCTAATTTCCCTCCTGAAAGAGATCATCCCAAATAAGAAATACACTTCAGCTGATTTAAATCAAATCTATCCTGAGAGCCTTGCCAACCTTGCACATTTGGATTGGTTGGCTCAGTAAGCACTGGTAGTTAGGAAGAAAACAAGTGGAGAACTCTTCTTGTACTAGTGCTCCTAAAGTGACCTGAAAGGGTCTTTCCTTTGAACCCCCAGCCTACTCAAAGAGGAAGAAATTAATTAATTGGTTTACAATTTAGGCCAGGAAACCAAAAACAATGGCTACCCCTGGAAAGCATCTGGGGGAAGTGTTTCATATGAAACTCTTTTGTCTTTCTCTATCAGCTCATTGGCATTCCAATCACCAAGTAGAGTATCCTGCTTAGCCTATCTTAAGCCCATTTAATTTGTGAGCTAATCCACTTTAATCATCATTTATTAAGAACTTACCACAAGCCAGATACTGTGCTGGTCGCTTGCAAAATGGAAACTGAGATCTTTGGACAGTTGTCATCTTCAGTGCATACCACCCACGTGCTACTATGGCTACCTTGGCCCTGTTAATCACTAGACCCAAAATCATTAATCCTAGAGTCCTTTAAAAGGGAATGTTTTGCTACTCAAAACAGGTTTTCAAAGGTGAGGACAGTGCCTCCTCAATGTGCCTTTCATTCCAAGCTGGGCAGAGGAGTATGTTTAAATCTAAGTGAGGAACCTCACAATACCTCCCCCCAATCAGTTCCTCTTATTAGGGGAAATGTAAACACAAGCCTCTAGCTCTGTAGATATTTAAGTACACAACACATACATACATACATATATATATTTATGTATAATAATATACACAACAGAACAGTGTAGTAGATCAAGGTGCCTTACACTTGGAAGCTGGCATTCTTGGACTTCTAAGTGAGCCTGAACAAAAAGTTCAGTGTAGTACAGGACTGAAAGCCTGTTGAATAATGGGATATTCAAAAGGTATGTTGAAAAAGCCATTTTCTGTACAAATGTGCATTGTTTCCAAAGTGATTTATTCTCTCCAGGTATCTGCCTCAAATTTGGATGTTGGGGTTAAGCTACACTGAGACGTTCAAGCTTTATTCTTTAAAGTTGTCCAAGTGATGCATTAAGGAGTTATGGGGGAGGAGGACACTGCCCCAGCCTCATAACACATAGCTACTCACTCAGGCGATGAAAGGTTAAAAAGTAACCAACCTTACTTTTCACCTTCACTAGAGAAGAACTGATTTAATCTGGGTACACTCGGTGATTTACTACAGAATAGCATCGAGACATGGGACTTCCTTAAGAGAAGGATTTTGAGGTTTGCCAGCTCTCCACACCCATCCCCAGGCACACAGTCATGATTAAATCCCACACTACATGCTACTTGGAGCCTTGTAGGAGACTCTTCCTACTCCCCGCCCCACTCCAACCAGAAGCACTTCATTTCAGGTAGGACTTAAATATTTAGAGCAGTGATTGGCAGTCTGGTCAGAATCCATTTCTAAGTGATGGTTTGGAAAAATCAACACCAAGATTGGGTTGGAGAATTTCACATAGTGGATGTCTGGTAAATGAGGAAAGACAGATTCTCCTCCACTATCCCCTAACAGGGTTCTGGATCCTGCACCACACTGTACTGAGGAAAACCAGAAGTATCAAATACAGTTAAAAATCCAGAAGTTGTGTGTATGGGACACACACCTCTCATCTTTAAAAGCAGCTTAAAATGTCCTTTTTGAGTCTTTGAAATGTAGGGTGTGTTTAATCTTGATTAAGGCTTTTGGCTGTACAGGAAATTCCTCATTTTCCCTTCCTGGAAAAAGTCCCCATGATAGATTTTCCTCTTCCCAGGGGGCCAAGTTGCATGTGTCACTTTAGCAGAGTTTTCCTTCACAGGAGACTAGCAAGGCTGGTGGTGGGTCCATTCTGCGCCTGAAACTGTACAGGGGGTGGCCCGTCTGTCCACTGGAAAACATACATGGAAATGAAAGAAAACGGAATTTACAATCTGGAAAATGAAGAACATGCTGTTCTTTGGCAAGAAGTAAATCACTGTTCATACTTCCTGATCAGACCCTAACTGGAGCATTCTGTTCAGGTCTGAACACAACCAGGAAAGGGTGACAAGGATGGGGAAGGGACTCAGAAGCCAGGGCATATGATGATCAAAAGAAGAAACAGAGAAGAGAAGACTTAGGAGGAGATGATCACTGTTTAGCACAAGGAGAGTAGACCTGAGAAAGCTAGGACCCAAGTGATGGGGAATTATAAATTTAAGCTTAATATGAAGGATTTTCTAATAATCAAGGCTGTCTAGTAATAGAATGGGCCTCTTTTCGAGATAAGAGTGAGCACCCTAGTACTAAAAGTGTTCAAGGAGACAGTCACCTTTCGAGGCAGCTAGGTGGTATGGGTCTGGGGTCAGGAAGACTTGCATTAAAATACAGCCTCAGACACTTACTAGCTGTGACTGTGGGCAAGTCACTTAACCTTTCTCTCCCTCAGTTTCTTCAACTGTAAAATGGGGATAATAACAGCACCTACCTTGCAGAGTTGTTGTGAGGATTGAATGAGGTGGTATTTGCAAAGTGTTCAGCATAGTGCCTAGCACATTGTATGTGCTATATAAATGCTTATTCACTTCTCTTTCCCCTTTCAAGATACCACAGAGAATTCCATATTGGGAGACTGACTGGACTAGATGACCTTTTAGGTCCCTTTGCAAGCTAAGATTCTATGATTGCAAATACAAAGATGATGTTCCCAATCAGCTGTCAGCCATAGGCAGGTACTGAAAGCTAGTTTTCTTGGGGCAGGGATAGCTAGTGCCTAGTATGTTATCTAGGGCAGGCATCTCCCAAAGGGCTAGATTGGATATAAGGGAAGGGAGAATGAAGTTAACTAGCTTACAACTACAACAATATCAGCTAAGAAATTTGACAACTGGCCATAAAATGTATCTTTCTCCACCACAGAGCCATCACTGATTTAGCAGGAAATGCTACCAAGCCCCCCCAAATCCCTCACCGTGATAAGGTTGTGTTCTGGAAGGCTACAAGCTTCAATGTGATCCTGGAGAAGTTGCTGGGAGAAGTTCTGATGCATCTGGGCAGCTTCATGAGCATCCATTGCATTCCCACAAGCTTTATTCAGGTCTGGGAAAAAGAATAACACTCATAGCATTCAGATGATTAAATAAGGTACTGTCAGTCGAGTTCTAGCTGGTGTGATCTCCTCCTAAAAGTCTTCCTTGGAAATTCTGGCTTATGGGATTGCTCTCCTCACTGCTCTTCTATAGTACTTATCCATACTCCCTATTTACCATCATAATTGTAGACTGAATTGTTATCTGTTCTCCAATTAGCAATAACAGCTGACATTTCTTTAATGCCTCATGGTTACAAGAGCATTTTCACATACTGTAACTTGGGAAGGCAGTGTGACAAAGTAGAAAAACAGCTGTATTTGAAGTAGAGAACTATGTTCAATTGTTACCTCTGACATCTATGTGATCTTGGGCAAATCAAATAGTTCCCTGGGCTTCAGCATCCCCATCTATAAAACAGGGAGTATGAAGGGAGGGAAGGAAGGGAAGAAGTGAAGGGGTGCTCAACTAGATGCCCTATAAAGTTCCTTCCAGCTCTAAATCTATGATCAAATTATCTCCATAAAAATCCTAAGAGGTGGATAACAAAAGCTTCCACTGTTAAAGTTTCTGTAGTATATAAAGCATTTACCTTACAACAATTCTATGAGGTACAGAGTGCAAATATTATTACTTCCAATTTAGAGATGAGAAAACAAGAAATCCAGAGATTGTACTTTTCTCAACATCCCACTGGTTGTTAAATGGCAGAGCTAGGACCTGAAGTCAGACTTCTGTTTCCAAAAGAAATGCTTTTTTTTATTATACCACAGGTAACCCAACTAGAATGTAAAGCTCTCCGAGGACAGCAATATATTTTGGGGACACATTTTGCAAGAAGCAGTATGGTACAGTAGAAAAAATTTGACATCAGAGACCTGGGTTGAAGTTTTGGCTACATTACTAAATAACTGATCTGAGCAAGTCCTCTCATCACTTCCTTGACCCTCTCAGTTTCATTATCTATAAAATGGGGATAATACTTTCTATCCTGCCTCCACTAAAGGGCTGTTATGATCATTAAGTAAGATATGTGTCAAAATGTTCTTAATTGTATGTAAGAGAAATGAATTACTATTGCTAATGTGGATTCATGGACTCATTCTCTAACACTCTCCTCAAAAAACACTAAATTTGGTATAAAGTGGATCTAACTGTGGCTCTTATGATAATGTGGCTTTACCTATAAATACAGTTATGTGGAACAGGGCCAACATTTTAGTTAAATTTTAGTATATGTGATTCATGGAGCAGTACTGGATTTTATGGGGGAGGGAGGTTCAACTAATGATCTTTTTAAGAAAAATAAAATGCTGTGTGAAAACTTTTGGCTAATGATCTTAAACAGGTAAGAGTTAATTTGCTTTTCTTCAGAAAAATTCTTTGTTCAATTAATATCCTATTTTGTGGTAAAAGGAAAACTCAGTTCTTTTCACACAGCCCTATCTTTAAAGTCATTTATTTTTTCCCTTAAGCCACCTCTCCTCTAGTTGAAAGCTCTGAGAATCAGGAACCCAGTCCAATGTTAATTAACAATTCATATTATACTGCAAAGAACCTTGGACTGGGAATCAGAAAACCAAGGCTTTAGTTTCAGTTTTGTCTATGACTTGCTCTGTGATATTGGGCAGGTCCCTACCCTCCTTAGTTTTCTCATACATAAAATAAAGGGGCTGAACTAGCTCTGGCTTTTAAAAAAATTTTTTTTATCTTATTTTTGCTGCTATCTTTATTTTAATACATTAGTTTCCAAATATATGCCTTTCCTTCTCCAGCAAGATATTCCTTATAACTAAGATTTAAAAAGAGAAAAAAAAAAAACAGTTCATCAAAACTATTTAAAATACTGAATGTATCTGACAGTATAAGCAGTATTTCACATTCCTAGTTTCCCTACCTCTGAGAATATATCTTCTTAACAGTGCTCTGGGGCCAAATTTGTCTGACTTATATTTATCTAGTGATACCTATACAAAAATCCTGTTAGGTAGTACAATATTATCATTCCCACATTTCAGATGAACATACGAAAGATCACAGAAGTTAAGTGACTTGGTCAGAGGTCCACAGCTCTAAGTGTCAGAACTGGGATATGTCTTTCCTGATTACTGTACCATACTGCCTCCTGACAATTTTATAATATTAGATCTGATTCTATCATTCCATGTTCTAAGATCTCACAGCCATAACTTCTAAATTCAAGCCTGACAAGATACTCTTCATAATGTACTGGGAAGATAGAACATTAAAAAAAAAAATACAGACAGGGAATCTAAAAATGCAAACATTTTATGTGCTATAAGTATCGATAAGTGATTAAGATGGAATAGAGTTTAAAAATGAAACTAAGACACTCCACGTATGTTCTTTTGAGTAGGCAAGATGGGCTTAACCTGTGGTAAAGACACAGAGGTAAGATACTGAAGCCTATATCTGTGTTCCTTCTGACCCCACTCTAACTAGTTCCCCTCTAGGGAGAAATGTCTGGGTAGACAATGCTTTCTTCCTAAGTCTTCTTAATATACTAGTAGGTTAATAATAAACTAGTAGGTTTGGGCCCTCAGGGCAACTAGCACCATTTCCAGGGCTTTTTCTAAGTTCTCTTTATTTTTATGAGTATGGAAGAAAAATGTTCCATTTCTGATGTGATAAATTTGTACAATTTTATAGATAGAACAGAAGGCTTTTCCAAGGCTTTAACCCGAGGGGCCCAGACCTGCAGAAAAGAAAAGAGATTTTCCAGGGTCAAACTGAGCTCATACCATCAAGTCTCTCAAGGATGCTCAAGGTTTCTCTTTGGCAAGACTAACTAGTGGCAAAAGAGGAAGTGTAACTTGTTCATTGTCTGTTTCCAAGAGAACCAATGACATCACAGGGTGGTGTCTCGACTTGCTTGTGAACTGGATTTAAGTGAGGAAGAGTTGTACAAAGTAGTCAGCCTCACTCTCTTCCAAAGTCATCCAAGTCCAGTGGCAGGACAAAAGTCAAGATGACTGGCAAGGGCCTGGGATGCAGTAAAAGACTTCGGTGTCTTCAATGCTCAACCAAGCTCTAAGTGCTCCACAGCACCTGCTTCCGTGGCCATTGGAACAAATTGTCCTCATCTGCCCATTCCACCATGGGAAGTCTTCACATGCTTGGGGTAGATATTCCCTTACCCCATTGATGGGTTTGAGGCCTGTTGGTTACCCTCAACTTGGGTTAGCCTGTCTGCTGAGATGGTTTTACTGGGATGTGGCGACTGTGAATGCTATAGTTTCTTGCAGCCAGAGTTAAGAGTTGGGTGAAGGTGGACACCGAAGGTGGATGAGCAGTCCTAAAAAGGGCTTGGCAAGCTCTCTCATATTAGAAGTGCTAGACCTCTCTGAACACCCCACATACCCAGTCTTGCCCTCTGCTTGTAGTCCTGAGAAAGAAGGGCCAGATTCCACTTAAAAAGCTGGCTTGATCTCCAGGAGACAACTGCACAGGGGAAAATAAGGCACCAAGACTAAACATTCACATGGAGGAAGATAAACTGACATAGCTGGGGAAACACTTGGCCAAAATGTGTTCTAGGTTGAGTGGTATGGTAAGGGCACTCCACCTGCAACGTCAACAGAATGCCCACTGAGACCACATTTGGTATCCAATAAGACTGAACCTTATCATTAGACTAAAACGTCCTTGTGGCATAGGGTAGTAACACTTCCTTCCCTATTGCAGTCTTTAGAATGCAGACCAGCACTACAAAGTGCAAGAAACACAAAGTCAGAAAGTCTTTTCCTCAGCATGGACACCTGAAGATGGAGGGAAAGTTGTAGTTTCAACAGTGATCAAAGTAAAGATTTTTTTTCCCCCCAAGGGACAGAGTGCAGGAGGGAAGGGAATGGTGTGGCCTTTGTTTCCCAGTGAAGACTTGTATTAAAATACACCTTTATATTTTGTTGTTGTTCAGTTGTGTGCGATATTTGTTTTGCACTGGAAAGGAATATGTTATAATGAGCCTGGAGGGCAGGCTGAAGCCTGGCTGCTAACAACTTCAAATGTCTAACAGAAGAATTTGTATTTTAACCTAGAATCAAGAAGTGAGCTTGTTGTTCAGTCGTGTCTGACTCTGTGTGACCCCATTTGGGGTTTTCTTGGCAAAGACAGTGGAGTGGTTTGCCATTTCCTTCTCCAGATCATTTTATAGATAAGGAACTGAGGCAAACAAGGCTAAGTGACTTGCCAGGGGTTACATAGCTACTAAGTGTGTGAGGCCAGATCTGAACTCATGAAGATCATTCTTCCAAACTCTAGGCCTGGCACTCTAACCACTGTGACACTGAACTGCCCCACTTCTATATTAACCAGAAATACTATCAAGTGATGGAAAGGATACAGGACTCAAGGAGTTGGAAGCCCTGGGCTGGGAGTCCTTGCTACTGATTCAGCTGTAACCTTGAGTAGGACAGTTCCTTTTTTTTCTGCTTAGCCACGCCCTGGGGTGCACACAACACCTCTATACTCCATATCTTGAACTCTGAAATGCTTCTTTCCAATCATAGCCTCCTTCAATTTCTCCAAATTCTCCATTCCTCCTAACTCTATCCTTCATCCTTCTCCTCTTTCTCTTTAGTCCCTCCACTACTTTTTGTTTCTTCAGTTTACCATCCTTGCTTCAGCTTCTCTTTCTTCCCTATGCTATCTTGACCCAGTGTCTGACCCTCATAATTCTATACTATCATTTACCTTGGAATTCCTCGATCCTTTGTCTTACTGCTGCCCTGCCTCACCAAACCCGGGTCCTGGATCATAGCTATGTATCTGTCCTCCAAGTGACAAGGCGCTAAAAGCTGCCAGAGTCCCACAACCACGCTGAACGGGTTCCACACAGATTTCTGTTTAATCTCCACTGGACTCTTCCAGCGGCATGACAGTTCTTTTCTTCTACTCTATAAATACAAACCCCTCTGTATTATTTTTCATTCTCTCCTCCTTTACTCTTGTCTCTGACCAGGAAATGGCCCTTCTCTTTGCCAGAGCCAATTCCTTCACTTGCATTCTTAATCCTGTCTCCTTTGGGAGCTTGCCATCTGGATAATTAACCCTTTTTCTTTCTTCTTCAATCTCTCTTTATCCATTGGCTGCTTGCCTACTGCCTACAAACAAGCTCAGAACACCTCCTATCCTTAAAAAACCTTCCCTTCATGCTGCTATTCCCTAAAATATTCTCATTTCCTCTCACTTTCACAGACAAACTCCTAGAAATGGCCATCTACATTTGCCTTCATTTCTTTGCTTTCTACTCACTTTTCAATCCTTACCAATGTTCTTCAATCCTACTGACTTCACTCAATGGAAACTGCTCTCTACAATGTTGCCAATTATCTCTTAATTGCTAAATCCAATGATCTTTTCTCAATACCCATTCTATTTGACCATAGCAGCTTCAGACACTACTGACCACCTTTCTTCCTTGATATTTTTCCTTCCCCTTGTTTCTATGACACTGACCTCTCTTCGTTTTTCCCATGCCTATCTGACTGTTCCTTCCTTCTCCTCTTCCGGATCACACAACTCCTAGT